GTGGACATACTGAGCATTGCTTAGCTCGCCGTAACTGCATTCTCCACTTAGAGAATATCACAGATTTACAATAAGCAAATTCACGTCCGTATCACTGCTGTGACCTCAGAACAATGACCGTCCAGGTTGACCGCAAAAACCGAAACGTCGAATGGTTGTTAAGTGCGCACTTTATTATATCTCTTGTTTGCACACAGTTTTCCAAGTCAATTCATTTGTTGAGCATTTCCTGCATATGCCGTTATACGTTTTTTTGTTCTAAATCATGAATGCATATTTTAAAGACTGTTTTCGTTTTATATTGATAAAATCCGAACGAACAATCAATGGTGGACTTATTCCGGCTCCTGCCTTTTCTATCTACGGGATTCAGTGTCATCGACTTATCTGATTGGCTTGATACAGCTGATAATTTGGCGTGGGATCGCGCTGCCGGTCACCGTTGCTCAGCCAAGTTGTGATTCTGATCCTGGACGCGCTTCGTCTTTTTGTGCGCTCGCACCCCCAGTCTACCGGTCAGTCAATCAGGTCAGGCACTCATACAGGTCATATCCTGGTGTTGACGTTTACCCGTTCTCTACTGCCTTAGAGACAGTGTGGATGCCATATCAACTTGCCAACTGAACAACTGACAGAATGTGTCTGAACTGTCCTTCCTTCGCGTGGAGCCTAGCTCTCATGTGTTTATACTCAGGTGTGATCGCTGCTACAGAATCCTCTTGTCATGATTTCAATGCGACATTTCTCCGACTCCAGGCTGTTCCAGACGCCACTGACACGAGGGATATATTGGCCACCACAAACCCTTTCTCGACTGCCTTTGATGATCATGTCGATCCGGGTTTATGTCCTATGCACTTTGAAGTTGCAGCACGTTCATGTGATCGTCATCTTTTATCAGCAATTCCTGCCAAACTTCGCTGACCTCGAGCTAGAACTCACCGTCATGCATTCCGGTCCGAAGGCTCCTCTCGGTCTTTCTGGTGAGGCATTTACCTCTTTTCGAGATAATCAAGGCCTCCCTGTCGATGCTGCCTCGTTTATGCATGATGGCTAATTCTTCGGCGATAGCCTTTAAGGTAGTTCTTCTAGAACATCCCACTACGTAATGCTGTCTCTGTTAGTCTTGCGCAAAAAAATTTCTCCAGTAAAAGCATGCTACGGCATCTTTGACGATGAAATCCCCGCCACTTATTTGGAAATGGAGCACTTCCGCTACTTCCTTAAAGGTCTTGTCTTCACAGTCACCACGATCCGTAGATCATTGATGTTCCCGTATTGATCATACTTCAAAAAGTAAAACCCGAGGCCAATTATCCATATGAACTTAATTCCCACATTCGCCACCAGCATCCAACATATCGATGGCACAAAGGGTGAGATAGCTGTCAAGCTGTACGGAGCTTCTCAGCATTCACTCCTCGTTACAAGTGCGGTCAATTGCTGTCATGGTGACTGAAAGGGGAGTCGGTTAGCCAATCGATATGCCATTTAATGGTGTCGATCGTTTAGGTATTCACCTGTTCACCGCTGTTGCACAGGTCTTCGAGACACCTCAACTCCAAACTGCCCCTTAGTGTTCGCCTCGATGCGTCGAAATATGCTTCAATTTCTCCATGATTCCCTCTGCCCGGGAGACGAGACTCACACAAACTCCCCCCTCAAGCTTGGATGTTTCTGAGTTGCCACTTGAAAAGGGTAGGAGTCAATATAAGCCTCGCTCAACCTCCCCCATTTTAGACACAGAACATGCTGGTTTAGTATAGATGAACGTTAATTAACGATGAATTTTCACCAAGTCTACGAACTTGCCGAGTATGTGTGCACTCTCTTGCTCTTCCGTGTCCTTTGATCTTGCACTTGTAGTTACCTGCGTCTTCCTACTATTCATACTTTCTCCGCATCATCATTCGTCGGCATTTAAAATGCCCCACGTGCCTTTGTCGCTACGATCACACGGGCTGGTTTACCGCAAGCGTGACTGGAGTAGTCCAGAGATGCCCTGACAATTACTACGTATGGGCGACACACTTGCGGCGGCCCAAATTCGTGCGTATGTTGCAAATTTGGGCCTCTTACGATTGCTTGTACGTGCGCACCAAGTGCAGTCTGATGATTGGCCAATGCTGGCTGCCCAAACTGACCAATCATCATTGAGGTTGACTCAGGCGTGAGCTTAATGAGGGCTCTGTACGACTGCCCCACTGTCTCACATGCGGACGCCGCTCTCGCCGCGTAGGACGTGCCCTCGTCGGCCGCCAACTCCTAATAATTTCTTCCCTAATGGTTCTGCACAGGATACAACATCCTCCCAACTTGGCGTCTCACTTCTTCACTTCCTGTTCGGAACTGGGCCTTATGGCCGTAGTGACTGAGGGCTCCCTATAGCACAATCTGCCGCGACGGATACATCATCCTAAAACTGCTCTACACGAAGGCTGAGCGGCGACACCGATAGGTATCCATCGCTATCGCATTGACGTGGTACGTCGCAAGCAAGCCGGCGGTCGTAACCTGCATTTCGAGTTTTGTACATTGCGTGGCTTGACAATGGACAACAGACACGGTCGCATGAAATATCAACCAACTAATAAAGTCGATGCAGTAAGCTCTTCCCCGTTCTGAGGCGGATTGAATTACACAAGTTACACCTCCTTCGAAGTAGGAAGTTAAAAGTCGATGACTGAGTAAGTAACGTGAATGCGGGTCATACAGTGACAACAACCGTTTTACGAAATCGCATTTAAATTAGAAGACAGCTAAGACAAAGTCATGTATTCCTCTAATGAACGTCAGGCCTACCGAGTTAACATACGCGTGGGGATGGAAAATACATGAGTGTACAGGAAGAATGGTAAGGCAAGTAGTGCATATTCGCAACGTACCGTGATATGGGGAAGAAACCGGAATTCTGAGCTATGGTGGACACCGAAACAGAGTCAGATTAGAACTTCGTGCCAGTGTCCAAGACTCTTGCCTCGACCCCCAGAAGAGGCCTTGAAATGCGCAAGACCACGGTGACTGGATTGGACGGTTCATCGCTTGGCTGAGGAAAGAGTGTTGCATAGCCAGTCCAGGCCTTGGTAGAGACCAGTGCCTGAGGTGGCGCACGTGGCTTGCACGTGCCATTGATGCCCCTGAAAAGCGGAGAGGCCGAGTCTTTGAGTTACCTCGCAGGCCTGCATTGCGTTTGGCAAATCCTGCGATAGAGAAGTTATTAACACTAAATACACACACACGCCTGTTTGTTTGCAAACACCAACAAGGGGGTTTCACGCAGTCCCTCGTCACTCAGCATACGATGAAGTTCTTCCCTCGCCTCATCTATTCTTTCCTGATCATTACTGTCGACAACGAATATGAAGCCTGGAGAATAACGAACAATAGTCACCCTTGCCTTGGCTGCTATAGCAGAAACAGCGCCACAGAGGGCGTACTTTATCTTGCCCTCCGACATCCCGTACAGTAAAGGTGACATTTTTGTATCGCACGAGTTCAATGTTAAATCCGATAGTGGGAGTAGTTGAAACGACTTCACCCAAATTCAATTTATAAAGAATGGTTGTTTTGCCTGCAGCATCCAAGCCAACCATAAGGATACTCATCTCCTTATGGCCAAATATGCGGTCAAATATGCGACTGAACATGTTACCCATTCTCTAAGGAGGCGGATTTGACCGTTTATTTGCAAATAACTGTAACTGGTACTAGACACAAAAGCGCCGAACACCGCAAAACTTACGTATTTTCCACAAAAATAAGTGGTCTGTCGGAATGCTGATAGGTCGCTTCTAATCGGCAATTATAAGTTGATTTTTGTGGTGTCGCAGTATAAATATAACTATGTTTTTAATCCGATAGGCTCTGAACTCATGCGGACCAGAATGGCCAATGAGCAATGACTTTACTCGAGGATAATCGTGAAAAGAAAAGAAAAGAATCGCATGGCAGAAGTACCTAAACACGGTTTCAAAAGGGAATTTCAAGAAGGCATAAAGTCCTCCTTAATCAGCATTAGGGCAAAAGTGATCTCTCCGGACCGCTTAGTGTGCATTCTATTAAGGTCGGTGCACGTTCATCAGATAACCAAAACGCCTGTGTGGAGTGCGCTACCTCCTTGCTTAGACTCCACGCTGGCAGCATTAAACGCGTTTGCCGGAATGCGCACACAGGCCCTTGATTAATGAAGGTAAGTCAATAATGCCGCAGTTATTGCATCATCCACCCACTGACTGGATTATTTTCAGACGCTTGCGCAGATCTCCGATGCGTGTTTACCGTGTGTGCTAGCGACAAGTTGATAGAATAGACTAGCCGTACAAATAACTCTTCCTTACCGGACTGCTTTCAAGTAACCTGTACATAGAAGTGACTAAAACAATAAAAATGCGTTGAAGCACTTAGCGAAGAAAATCCTTAAGGCTGTGGTCGCAGGTGGACTGACCTGCCCTCTCTGTACGAGTACGAGAAGAATGCAAAAATATGGACCTTCTTTCAAGAAACTGAGACTGTCCTGTTCAAACCCTTCTTCCTCCAAATGAGCACGCATTTCACATGCAAATGAACGTCCCTCCGGTTGTTTGCCCAGAAGCCTTAAAAAAGCTGAGCTTTTTCGGGCAAATCTCGCTGGCGCTAGTCTTGCAGGCATTTCCTTGTGTTCTCTTCCTGTTTCCACACACACGGGAAATGCAGTTTGCTGGCTGTTAGTAAAGGCTGCCCTCCTAATTATGTCGGCCAGGCTTCAGCTTTGGAAAACATCCTATTGTACTGCACCCTTCGTAACAAATTACCAAACATTTATAATGTCTCATTTTCTTAAATCTTTAATTGTTATTTCGGTTTCCTATTATGAAATCTGCTTGACCACGTGTTGTTGCTACTGCCCAACGCCTGAATGGAAGTAAACGACGTCATGCGATGATTCTTCTATGCACATTTTTGGAGTTAAACCTATTTTTTGACTATTCATCAGTAGCAGAAGTGAAAACAGTCAGCTAAGACTAATGGTGGACTGTTGAGGGTATTAATACATGTCAGAAATCAGAGGTCATTATATTCCATTTCTGTCAGAAGTATGGATAAAGGAAAGGCGAGTCTGTCTCTGAGTGCGCTTATGTTTCCTCGTTTGCGCGGGAGGGGGGTGTGAGCAAGTAAAAGAAATAAATTTGAAATGAGGGAGACGTCAATGATCTGTAGAAACAAATAAAGATAGTCAGCTGATATTGCATGACATGGCAATAAGCATGATCTGCTAATAGAGTCAAAGGGGCAAGTTCCAGGAAGTAGTCGCGAGGGAGGAGATACGATCGTTGGAAGAGGAGCTTTTTTGCCTGACTTTTCGGATTCTGTCTGGAATCCATCATCGGAGACAAAGTCGGAAGAGGAAAGTGGATTATCTAGGTGTTGCAGTATTTATAGGATATAGTTGTTGGACCCCCCCCGTATTCGGCGCTGAGACGTTGCCTAGGCTACTTAGTTAGGCGCCAGGGCAGTGTGCTGTTGACCACTGTTCCTGGCGTCAATACCGGCGAGCAAAGTTGTCCAAGTATCCACATGGATGACAAAATTCGGCAGTCAGCAACTTGACTGCGTGCAATGAGTGTTGAAGTAGAAAGACACAGAGAAGCATAGCAACTGCGCGCTCCAACACCCGACCGGTTGAGCCGGGATGTATTCGATAGCTGTCAACTGCGATAGGCATGTAGTGGCCCAGCAACTACATCCTATAAATACCGCAACACCTAAGCAATCCACTACCCTTATCTGACTCTGTCTCCAATGACGGATTCGCGTGATAATCCGAAACGGCAGGCTAATAAATCTCCTGTTCCAGCAATCGTGTCTCCCTCTTCACATCTACATCCTGGAACTCGCCTCCTTGCCACTATTAGCCAATCCGGCCTAGGATCTCCCCAACCATGTGGCATGTTCATCGCAGACATGTTTATCCAGTTTAAACCAATGTTTATCCGCCAGCACAGTCCCGCGCACCAAAGTCGCCATGATGTAATCCCTGGCTTTAAAACACTGTGTCCGTTATGACACATTTTAGTAACCAAGCTGGTCCAACCCATCCCCGATTAAACGTTGGCAATCATCTTACACGATGTGGCCTACCACGCACGGATCAACAGTGCATCCTTCATCGCTTAGTTCTATCACGCCGCGGCTACCAACAAGGACCGTTTCGAGTGCTTCCTGCGATGGCAAAGTGTAAGGTGCTCGCGGATAACTCGGGCGGACCGGAAAGCTCAGCCGAATAGTTTAGGAATTGTAGAACTCCATTTGCGTATTTCAGGGAAACTGTCAATTTGCTCGCTCAAGTAACGATTAAAACTAAATTTGATAGATTTCTTTCCCCGCAGGAGAGATTCGGAGAACTGCAACAGACGTCCAGTGGGGAATGCGTATTTTCATGTTAGATTTCAATGATGGCCTACTTATACGGTGATATCAAACCCGAAGATAAAACTCTCTGGGGTTCAGCAATGTATTGCGACAGAAAGTGTTCGATGTGAATTCAAAAACGCACCTACTCTCTGCGCCAACCACCTGAAAGTCCTCTCTTTAGCGTTGCGAAAAAAATAACCTCCCGACCTCCGCCCTAAAGTCTGAATTGTCATTTCAACCAATTGGTTCTCCAAGTCATTGTGGACTTCAGATAGGCCATGGAATTATCGTCAGATCTCCTTGCTTCATCAACTATACAAAAACTTCTAAAAATTGGAATTAGTTTTCGCACCTCCTTCAAGGGTCAAACAAAGTCCTTCAACACCGTAAACAGTATTGACCTCTGGAAGGCTATGATTAAGGCGAAATGCTCTAAACTCTTCGTGATGCTAATCAACCAGCAAAATGAGAGCATTTTGGAACCTATGGCAGATATTTGATCCAAACAGGAGTCCTCTGGGTTACAAAATGTGATGAACTACTGTTATGTCTTATCTTGAATTTTATCTAGATCATTTTTGTGTTATACTGGTCGACAAGGCCAACCAAAAAGGACAACCAGGCACCGATGGAATCAATCAGACAGAGTAGAAGCCAATCGGCATCCGTCTTATGTATACTCTAACACAAACATTTGTACCCACAATTAATGTCCTAATACGTGCCAACATATGGACAGCAAACACAGTAAATATAACGGGTACACGGAAAAACCGTCATAATTGGGCGCTTTAATTCCCTAACTTCAGGCGAATCATCAAAAATCCGAAGACAGTTGTCGGGCGGCGCCCTATTCCAACCTGGAAATACACCAAGTTTGCCGTAATTGACAACAGCGGTAGCAGCGTAACAGTACCCAAATATCCTCATCTTGACTGCATTGTATCAGTATGAGAACTGCTCTCTTTTGCCTGCTGATTTCTTTGATTGTTAAACCACAACGAACCTCCTAGGTCATCCACTAAAACTACCTGTGACCGGCGACATGCTGGACACACAAAACGTTTCCGTTCCCAACAGAGTGGTCGAGACTTGGAATGCTCTGCCTACAGATATCGTCCTGTCTGCGCCCGTCGAGTCTTTTAAGTGCAAGTTGGACCAGTGTACCATCACACAGCATAATGTCACCCGACCGATATCGTCTTAACGTCCCGTTTAAGCAGTTTGTTATTGTTATAATATTATTGTCTTTATTTCAGTAACGTTTAGTTTTTGCCTTTCTAATGTCCCATGTCATTGAATGTGAATGTTGGCATTTACTTCGCCTCTCTCAGATAACTGAAACTTTGCCAATATTCTACGACAAAATTATGCATAGACTGACTACTGCACAGCGCATTTGGTAGTGGTCATTTGTCTAACACTTGGAACAATTGGTTTGTCTGTTTGGTTTCGAAAAACGTCTGTAGCCGTTTCATGTTTCCGTTTTCGAATTTTGGATATAATGGGCCTCCTTGTGAAAAACAGGGATACCAAAAGTTCAACACCTACTAATCCCTCAAATAAGCAGAACTATACTGAGGTCAACTGAGCATAACTATACCCTTGGATGCTGTAGACTAAACAGACTTGGTGACCAGGTTTACATTGGAGGTGGAAGCGGCAGGGTCTGTGCATTTCCTAGACGTCATTAAGGCAGAAAAGCCGACGGGAGCGTTTAAAAAAGCGTCTATCGAAAATAATTCCAGGCTGGGCAATATATGAACTTCTGCAGTTTCGTACGTCTTAAACAGAAACGTAATCTAGTCTGTTGTTTAAGTAAAAGCTAGACAAATCTGTTCGGCAGATATAATTGCGAAGAGCTTAGAAGAGCGTGTATCCCGGCAGAATTATTGTAAGGAATCTTACCGAACATTTTTTAAAACTCATCACACCGACAGTGGGAAAGAAAACTCGTTTCCTCAAAGTCCCCATTTAAGGGGACGCGACGAGTGGTCTCCTGGAAAGACGTCTTGACTAAGGCGTTTCAAGAAACTTCCTGGAAGCAAGAATTCAGATACTGGTCTCAACAAACTCAATTTTACACGAAGAAGATAGTGACAGACCACCTCCATGTGCGTTTACTCCTTTACTTACTGATGTGGAGCATACTATTTTGGTCGTACGGGCCGGTGCCCATTCGCAAGAATACGATAACACCTGCCGAGGGGTAGTGCACGTAAGAGCATACAAAGCTCCATTCTCACGCACGTGGTCGATTCTGGGCATCCTGTAGACCTCAGCAAATCCCGCTATTAAATTTATATGGTCCTTTCTAACTACCATAAGCGACTGGGTCAGTGCTTACTGGCAACGGCAGAAGGGACTGCCAGCAGGCTATGGAGGCCGCTCCATGTGTGCGCAGAAGAACCCCCTGCACGCTTTGCGTCTATCGTGGCCGAAAGTCTATTAACAGCATGAATTTATCTCTGCCCCCGTACCCCCCTTCTCATTTGACACAGCTCTACCTAAC